TGAATGTGGTTTATAGCTTCTTTGGGCTGTGGGTGTGGGTCTTCTTTTCACCTCTTTGTTCTCTCTTTCCCTCTAGTCTTCTGTGCTAGTTTCTGGAAGTTAGCATGATCCACTTTTGTCTTCCAGCCTTAATTCTGATCTCTTCCTCTTCTTTCACTTTTCTATTTTCTCTCTAATTCATTTTAAATTTTAACACAGTTACTGGAGGTTTCAGTCCATATTCAGCCAGTTCCAAGGCAGAGCAGCACATTGCAGAGGGCAACCTTTCATGGTGGTGGCAAAGAGCAGAGCACCTCTTCCCACCTTCTTAATCTCTTCTTATAAGGGCATCAGTCAGAGTCCATTAGGGTCCACCCTCACCCTCTTAACGTAATCACCTCTCTAAAGGCCACCCACAGCCGCATCCTGAGGCTCTGGGTGTTAGGGCTTCAAGGTGTAAACCTCAAGAGACATCATTCAGCACCTCTCAACAGATGGTGTCCTCACTCCTGACCGGGTCAGATCTGCCTGATAGATGCCTCTCTTCTTCTCTTGAAGCCTCTTTGGTTGTGAAGCTCCCTAATTGGATATTCTTGCCTGTGTGAGTTGGCAGGACCATGACTAGTGACACTGCAAATTTTCTTTCACTTCAGTTGTCACACCTCTTCACTCTACTACTCTCTGATATGAGCCCCATGCTCTGGCCAGCCTCCACCAGACACCACTTGCCATGGACTCTGCACTCCTGTCGGCCACTGACCTGGGCTGTCCTTTCCCTAAGTCGGAAGTCCCTTAATTCTTGACCCGCCCCCACCCCTGCCAAGCCTTCCTACCATGCCATGGTATCCTGTCTGTGCCTCAAAGCAGCAAGTGCATCATGCTGGCTGGATAACATGTCTTCTTTTTCTTCTTCTATTTAACTTTCCTTTTGAAATATTATAATTTCAGATTTACAGAAAAAATAAAACTAATACAAATATTTTTCATATGTTCTTCATCCCAATTCCTCAAATTTTTACATTTTATTGTCTGTTTTTTCCTATGTTCCCTTTTCCTCATTTTCCTCCACCTCTCCACATACATGTGCACACACATATATGTGCACATATAAATCTATACCATTTTGTGAGCAGTTTATAAGAGAGTTGCACCTGTAGGACCCTACACTTAAGTACTGCAGAGTGAGTTTTCCTAAAAACAAGGAAAGTCTCATATAAAGAGCTTGATTATCAAAGTAGGAAATTAATATTGATACTAGTTTATATTCACTATATCCAAGTGTTGCCATCGTCCTATCACTGTCCTGTAGGACCTGTGGAGTAAGATAGCAAGTCCTGTATACCAGTATATGTTAACATTTAGTTTGGCTGGTAAGGCCTGCTGTATCACATTGGTTTGGTTCTCTCCTCAGTGCCCAGGCTGGTGGCATACACTGATTAGCATGTTCTGGGCACATGGGGCTTCAGTGAGTGTTTGGAGGTAGGCACATGGGTCACAGATGGAAATGAGCCAGGATGGCTGTGGGAAAGCCATGCAGCTGTCGCCATCAGCCCTGTGACCCCACAGTGTGCTTCTACAAAGGGTACTCTCCTTGTCAGTCTTCCTGGGGCATTCATCTGGGCAGCAGCACCCTTCCTTGGTAGAAAGGCACAGCTGGCCATTCACAAAGCTGCCTAACCTGCCTGTGGTCATGGAGCCACTACAGCCAAGCTGCCCAAGGTCCCGCCCTTCTGTGCTCTGCAGTTTGTGAACCACTGTCAATGTCAGCTCCCTTATTCAGCATATAGCCGCCAGGCTTGTTAGGTTTACAGAAGTGAGCATAAAAGCGCCCACCCTCAAATAGCTGACGCTGCAGTGGAAAGGGCAGATACTAAAGAAAGAAAGTGAATTTATAGTTTGTCAAATAGTGATAAGTGCCTGGGGGGCTTATAAGTCAGAATAAACATAAGCAGCACAAGAGATTGTGCTCTGATGGTTTGCATACAGTGGTTAAGGAAGATTGCATTGGTGCTGTGGCTTTTCCCCATTTTTATGTTAAAGTATAATTTCCATGCAGTAAACACCATTTTTAGAACAGGGATCTGTGAGCCTTGACAAACCTATGTAAGCTGTATAACCAGCGCAGGTGAAAGACAACTCTGTCCCCTAAGCACGTATCTGTATGCCCCTTTGTTCTTAAGCCCGTCCACCCAATTCTGGCATTGATCTGTTCTCTGTTCATTCAGCACATAGTTCTGCCCAATCTAGAATGTTATGTATGTAAAATTATGTAGTATGTAGCTTTTAAATCTGGGTTTTCTTGGCTGAAGGGAAAGATAAATTATGATAATTCATCTATGTTGTATGTATTCATAGTTTGTTGGGTTTTATTGATGAATTTCACTGTACTCTTATGCAGTGAATAGTCTATCCATTCTCAGGCTGAGGAGCTTGATGTATCTCCTAATTTGGGGAAGTTGTATATAAGCTTCGCATGCAGATGTTTGTGTTCATGCAAGGTTTCGTTGCACTGGGATAAACAGGATAAGTGACTTTTGAGCAAAGACTTGAAAGAAATATGAAAATAAGCCATGAAGATAGTTGAGGATATTTCTGCATATGTACCATATTGTTATTTAACAAATATGCAAAATGGTTCTGTTTGAGTCACCTTATCACATATTTGGAGAAGGTAGGGCAGGAAGGCAACAGCATTCATTCATTCATTCATTCATTCATTCATTCATTCTAGATCCATTCAACAAAAATTTAAAAAAAGAAAAATGAAAGCCACCAGTTCACAATTTATGACCCAAAGGAAGCCTGAGACCCTTGGATCTACACCAAAGACTAATTTTAGCTGGTTATCTGACATAATTTCCTTTTTGGGTTTCCTGAAAGTTTGGGTGAGAGAGTAGTTAGTGAGTTTTGAGCTTTAATCTTTGAATAAGACAGTGGGGCCTTCGGTATTATTGAGAGGTTTTATATCCTTGGGGGTTCTATAGACTCCTGCTGAGGCCCCTAAAAACTGGCATTCATCTGACCTTGAGGCTGTCTGTATGATCAGGCAAGGTGGTCTCTGAAAGGACACATTGGAATGAGGGCTCTCTACAGCTAAGAGCCCAGTAAGCAATACCACACCCTCCTTGGATTTAGGAGATTATTTCTAGAAGCAGAACTGACAGAAAATAACCTGTGAACTTTCTTGTTGCAGGTGATGCAACTGTGAAAAAGAAACCCACCTCCAAGATATCTCCAAAGGCAGGTAATAAGTTGAAGCCTCTCCTGGGGACATGAGCGTCATGGTTCAGGGGTTTCCTTTGCACTACAGACTGTCCACCTGGCTGTGATCAGGATTTGTCCCCACTTCCAGCTCTGTGTGTGTCAGGCCAAATCTGGAGCAAGTGTCTCACCTTTGTTCTCTCCTGTATCCCTCTTCCCTGCCTTTGTGTACAGGGCCTCCCAATCCTGGGAATTTTCCTGTCCCTTCTGGAAATTCCACCCCCTCCCAGTCCCTCGCTCTGCTTGTGTGAGTGACCCATTAATGCTGCTTTTGTCACCTGTTCTGTATGTCCTCATTCCATGGAGCCCTTGTCTATTTTCCATGAAAAGACATTTGAACGTTTAAAGCATATGGATCCCATCAGCCATGGTGGTCCAGAGGTTAATGAATGAGGTAAAATACAGATTCAAACAATTAGGGTCAACCACCAATTATAGCACAGCCAAGAAATACAGAATTATGCCCCATGAAATATGTAGGTCATTTCTGAGAGAATCTGAATAAAAACTTAAACAAGCCTAGCAGGTCTGAGAGGTTAGATCTTCCAGACAGTGGCAGTACCCTCAGTCTTATCCTGGAGGTTCCAGAAGGCAGGAAGATGTCTGGGCCCCTCCTCTGTGCTCACTTGCCCCCGTCCCCTCCCAGCAATGCCCCCTCAGATCATCCAGTTCCCTGAGGACCAGAAGGTGCGGGCAGGAGAGCCTGTGGAGCTGCTTGGGAAAGTGACCGGCACGCAGCCCATCACCTGTACCTGGATGAAGTTCCGAAAGCAGGTCAGTCATGAAGGTGGATGGCTCAAGGAAAACCTCCAGCCCCCAGCCTAAAGGAGTGAGAACTGCTGATGTGATGGGGACAACATCAGTCTTTATCACATTAGAAATGGAGAGGAAGGGGCCGGGGAGATAGTTCAGTAGGATAAGTGCTTGCCTGGCAAGCGCAAGGGCCTGAATTCAATCCCTGGTTCCACCAAAAACAAAAACAAAAAAAGAAATGGAGAGAACCCCACCCCCACCAAGCCTGAGTTCATACCAGCCTTTCTTGCAGCCTACTAGCAATCCATGCAGTGTAGATAATCTGTATCATAAAGCTACCCATAGTCCCACCTCATTGTGATCTCTACCCAGAATCCTAGTCAGGCTCAGGAAAATTGAACAGAAACCTCAGATGACCTCCCATACACCAGTAACTTTCTGAAAATCTCTGCCAGCCCACTGCCTACTGTTTCTGATAACAATTCAAACTTACTGCGTGCTGAAGGGATCCAGATTAATCTGAGTATGTGGATGAATAGAATTTTGGCTAACTGGCCCAGAAACCTAGCTATAATTTATAGTAATGGTTCTTGTGAAAAGTGTTTGAATTTCTAAACAACTAGCGTTTGGAGGAAACTTGAGGGTCCTGATCATCCCACCAGTCTCCTGTTGGTGGTGTGTGCCAACATGTGTGATCAGCAGGGACCCTGGGATGGCAGGGTGCCCTGCATCGGGAGCTCTTCTGGAGATGCGGATTTACTCTGAGCCCCTTGTCACAGTGCTTTCATGCCATTCAGATTGCCCCAGTTTACGAAAGAGCTGTTATCAGGGAAGAAAGTACACAGAGAAAAGAAGGTGGACTTGAGCATCCCTCAGCACATTTGCCCTGTGCTACTTCCTGAACTCAGATGGAAGCATAGGCCTTCTCAGAGATGTCCACCCAAGCCCTAGCTTGGCCAGCAGAATGTCTGTGGTGGATGCTCTACATCCATGTTGATCATTAGAGTGGCCACTGTCCCGGGCAGCCATTGAGCACATGAAATGCAACTGAAGCCAGGAACTAAATATTTAATTTTAACTGATTAAAAGGTTACAACAGTTCTGTTGAGATATAAGTCATATACTATAAAATTCACACTCACACACACATGTACCCACACATACACACACATGCACACGCACACACCCTTCCCTTTCTGGCAATACTGGAAATTGAACCCAAGGTCTTGGGCATACTAGGCAGGAGCTATATCACTGAACTACATCCCTGATCAAAAGTAACCCTTTTAAAATATACAGTTCAAGCCAGAGGTTTGTCATGCACCTGTAATGCCAGCACTCAGAAGGCTGAGGCAGGAGGATCCCCTTGAATTCAAACTGCATAGTAAAGCCTTGTCTCTAATTAATTAATTGATTAATTAATTAACATGTATGACTTGGTGGTTTTATTAGAATCACAGGGTGGTGCAAGCATCATTATCTGATTCCTCATCGCAAAAAGAAACCCCAAAGCCCATTAGTAATCATTCCCCTTCTGCTTCCAGCCTCCAACTTTTGCCTGCTCTGGACATTTCACACCCTGGAATCATATACAATCTTTTGCCTAGAGTTTTGGAGCTTTTTGAAAGAGTGCTAGGCCAGCCCCATACTGGAGATTGAATGCAGGGAGTGCTGAGTTACATTCCAATCCCCTTTTACTTTTTATTTTGAAACAGAGCCTCACTAAATTGCTCGGGCTGAGCAATTTGCAGTCCTCCTGCCTCAGCCTCCCAAGTAGAGAGGATTACAAGCACAGGCCACCACACCTGGCTGGATATTTTGTTTGTTTTGGTTTTGGTTTTGGAGACAGGGTCTCACTGTGCAGTGTAGGCTGCTCCTGAACTTCCTGTGTAGCCTAGGCTGGCCTCCAATTTGCAGTCCCATCTCGCTGCCCAAGTCTCTGCAATTACCAGTGCATGCTGGAGTTTTTGTTTTTATTTTGTATAATGATATTGGCCTATCTGTGTTGTAGTGTGAATTAGTGTCCGTTCCTTTCTATAAATGCCTCACACTCCATTGTCTAGATGTAGCACATTTTGTCTCTGTACCAGTCAATGGACATTTTACTTTCCACTTCAGTAAAACGTGAGGAGTACATGTGGCCGGTGGCCACTGCACTGGACAGCATACACAGGCGAGGCACCCGCTGCAGGTGGGCTTCACAAAGGACTTGGCCAAGGTGCCTTCTCCTGTCGTCCATCCCAGAGCGAGGGCAACGAGTGCTGAGCAAGACACCCAGCCCACCCTGATCAGCCCTCCCTGGCTGTGGATGCCCTGAGCCACTGTAGCTTGTCCAGCTGGGTCCCTGAAGGGGAGAGTGGGGAGGAGCCCTTTCCTCCCTAGCTGTCCCCAGCATCTGTCCTGCCTTTGCCCACAGATCCAGGACAGTGAGCTCATCAAGGTGGAAAACAGTGAAGGCGGCAGCAAGCTCACCATCCTGGCCGCGCGCCAGGAACACTGCGGCTGCTACACGCTGCTGGTGGAAAACAAGCTGGGCAGCAGACAGGCCCAGGTCAACCTCACGGTCGTGGGTGAGCGTGGGCACCACTGGTGTGGAGGTTGCAGGTGGGAGGGCAGCAGGAGCCCCAACTGGATGCATAGATTGTGGGACCCCATTGACCCAGCCTATTTCTTCCTACCTGCACCCTCTTGGCCCTAGCCCTGCTCCCCAACTCTCACATTAGTCCTGTCCTTCAAGCTGCTGCAGATCTCCAGACCCCAGCGCATTCCCGACCCTCTTCCTGTTGGTGCTGTCCTGGCTTCTCTGCTTTTCTGGCCATTGGAGCCCTTGGCCTCTCCACTCCAGCCTCTTCTGGCGCCTTCAGTCCTCTGTCCCTCATGTGCACTACTGCCCAGGCCCTTTGTCAACCTTCACCTAACTCACTGCCACTTCTGATTTCACCATTCCTGTCCCAGATCGGGTCCAAATGCAATACTCACTCTTTTGACCTCCAGGCTCGGCTGAGTGATCGGTGCTGCTCAGAAATTCTTACCCTTGTCTCTGACCAGTGATGTCCTTGCCAGCCTTGGCTCTGGATTCTCTGAGAAATACAGGGCATTAGGCATGAATTTTCTCAGGGTCACAACCCCCACAGCTCGGGTGTTGACGCCTGTCCCATTTTCCCTCCCATCTGGGCTCTGTGGACAGCCCACAATTGTCCTGCTCTCGACTGCTCCTTCTGGGTGGTGGGCTCCACCATCCCCAGTTTTCTCATATCTTCAAAGTCCTGCTGGCTCCTCCCAGAAGCCCCAAGTGTTGCCATGTTAGCAGTAGCCAGACATGGTAACCCCCGTGATACTCCATACCCATCCTGCAGTGGTGTGTCTGCTGCTGTGCGCATGTGCTGTCTCTCCTCCCACCCCAGAGCGAATCCTCTGGCAGAGGAGCAGCTCTGCTTCCTCCACACAAACACCCCAACCCATGCTGCTCTTCAGGGTGTCACTGCACCTCACTACCTATACCATGAGTTTGTAGGACTACTCTTGAGGTCACCATATACCCCTAACCCTAACTCTATTCCTGTTTCCTAACTATAGCATCCCAGTGGTGACTTAAGGCCAGCCCCAGACTCTTCAGTTCTCTTTCTTTCCTTCCTAACCACTCTCCTCATGTCCTGGCCACCCTCTCCCAAAACATCCATCACGCTCAGCTCCCTGAGTCAGTCATGATTCCCCATGTGTCAGGAGCTCAGATGGTAGAGAGACAATGGAAGGCACCAACTGTGGAGAGCAGGCTGTATCTTGTGTCTGTGTGGACACTGCAGAGCACCTGAGCATGTGCATTGACACATACGTGAGCCCTGGATGGTTTTTCCATTCGCTCATGGCTTTCTATATACTCTTTTTGTGAATTTAAAAGAAGTGTGTACCCTGACCTCACACCAGGCTCACAGCTGGTCATGGAGAGCAGAGGTTAGCCTGAACTGATCCACTGGACCCCCCACGCAGTGCACAAAACACGAAAGTGTGTGAAGGTCCTGACCTTGCCTCTCTGCGCTCTAGCCTTTCCCATGTATACTCCTGAGGGATACACAGGTGGGCACACAGAACAGAAGGATCCAACAAACCTGGCTACTGCAGTTAGGGCTCTTCGCCTAGAATCTTCCCCTAGAATAGTGCCTAGGCATGAGGTTGGAGGATGAAGAGGTGACTCTGGAGGCCTCTTGTGGCGCTATCATTCTGTGGTCACCTGAGTCTGATACCAGCTCTCTTCCTCCCTCCTCATCTCATACCTCACTCAGGACTAGGATGGACAGGACTATGGCTCCAGCTTTACAATGAGGAAACTAAAGTTGAAGATAGGCAAAGAAACAGAGTATCAAGGGTCTTGTGGGAGTTAGCTGTCAAACAACCTATGTTCAGATGCCACTCATGGGAATGTGAGTGGGTGCAGGATGTCTCCAAAAGGCAAAGATACTTCTGGCTAGAAACCATCTTGAGGGTGACATGCAAGCCTTTTGAGGAGCTGTCTCATGCAGGAAGTTGTTGATATCAGTTTCCCCATTGTTTTCTCACACTGAGCCTTGAGAAGCTCCATAGCATGTCCCTTAGGCCCTAAACAGATGAAGAAAAGAGTGGCCTCCTCCGTGAGGGACCTTTTTCTTCCTGTCTTTGCTGACTCCAGGTGCTTATTTCCATAGCTTCCTCCAGGATTCAGGCTCCTGGAGGGACTGGTGCTGATGATCCAGCTTAATGTATGCTTGGACCATGCTGAACGTATCTTTTGGCCCCACACCCCATCCTATCAGCAGGCATCAGTCCCAACTTTCCCTTGGTGTTCTCTCTCATCTGCCCTGCGTGGGTGATGTTGGGCTCAGCAGCTTTGCACTCGTTTTCTGTAACCAATACCTCCTGCTCCTACCCTGGCCACCCCCGGACAGTGCCACACATTCCCCATCCCCCTCCCCACGGCACGGGCTGCAGTTCTGGCCTTTTATGGTTGAGTTTCTTATTCCACGGCCAGTGCTGACAGGGCCATTGGTGTGGCTGCCCGCCAGCTGGCAGGAGCAGCATGTTAAATGCCGTCCTGGGAGGGGAATGGAATGGAGATCCGAGCTTTCTGTCTGCCTCCCCCTCTCAGAGCTAAGAATAGAATTGCTCAATAAAATGAGGACTCACATTGATGGGCGCAGCAAAGCCGTATTCATTCAGAGCCCATGAACTTAGGGTGAGTCCAAAGTAAACCCTGGCTCAGCTGCTTTACCTGTGTGGCTCCAGGACATCTGTATATTATCTGATCAGGGTTCACTAAGTAAATGTAAGACATACATGAGATAAAACAGGAATTGTTCAGCCTACTCTAGACAGTTTTCAAGTGCTTCAGAAATATCCATTTACAGACCAACTTTGGTCTATAAATAAGGCCACTTTGTGCAACTTCTGCTTATTAGCAGTAAACTTCTCTTGTGGCATGTTCTTAGAACTACCTTCTTTTCAGATAACCTGTGATTCTTATATTTAAAATGATGATTTAAACTAGCTTTTCCCTCAGTTAGTTTAAATGAGTGGTGCTGGGCTATTTTAGAGGCTTTTTATTATTACGCTTTAACAAGCAGCACAAGAATTACTGGTGCTTAGTAGCTTCCTGTGCTTGCTCCCCTTCTGCCTGCTCAGGGAGGAGGGAGCCAGCGGCAGATCCAGTGGATTCTTTCATGCCGCTCACTGAGCAGGAGATAAACAGGTCTCTGCATAGCTTTAAAGTAAAAAAGCAGAGAGAACTCCAGATACCAGGCAATCCTCAAGTACGATCTGAGATTGGACATTGCATGATTTGCAAGAGCAGATTTCCCTTGCTAATGCTTGGCTCAGCTTAAGCAAGATGCTTCTTTAATCTCCTCTCTGCCTGATGGCTGCAAGGTACCAAGCCCTGGGGCCTGGCTCTACAGACTTTGTGGAGTCTCCCTTGGGCTCTGCCATGCACTCACCAGGTTCTCATGGTGAGCAAAGTGCTTTAGCTTCTGTGGGCCCTGTTCTGAGGACACAGCAGATCCTGGTGTGGTCACCACCAAGGAGCCTGTCAGCAGCTGCTGAATTCAGCAGGGATGTCCAGGTGGGGCTTGGCACAGCTGCACATCAGTTTTTATCATGCATATGCAAAGAGAGTGAGGGTGCTGCTCTACTGGGAAACCTCTTGAGCAAGATCATCCTTTTCCCAGGAATAAGAACACTGGCTAAGCACAAAATCTTGGAAGTGGCATCCTGTGGAGCCCTTCTTTTAGAGGGATTCCCACTTTGCCAGTGAGGTCTCCAGAGAGCCCTGGGAGAATTCTGAGGAAGTGGAGGGCTGTTCCCCAGACACAGAGCCTTTACCCAGCACTGCCAGGATGTCCCTTATGGACAGAGTGCACTGGCTCATCGTGGAGGTTCATGGGAGTCCCTGGTCTGCCCCAGTGATCCTTGGCCCTAACCATCCCAGCTCTGTGTGGCTCTGTAGGTTAAGAAACCTACAGAAGTCCCATCCATGCCTCCCAACCCTGGCTCTAAGGACTGGTAGGGGAGAAAGGAGCTTCCAGTCTCCTGGACTTCAGGCTTAGGTCTTTTTAGAATTCTTTCACTGGACACCAAATTTCTAGTATGTAACAACATTTCATTTGGAATTAAAGTCCTTTCCCCACATTTCCCTTTTTTCTTATTGTGCTATAGGGGGTGAACTGTGTCTTATACAATTTAGTGATACAGGTAACAGGGCAGTCAAATAGTGTCTCTGTAAAATTCATTTTTCCAAGCTGTCTTTTTGACCAAAGCAGAGAAGAGAAAATCAGCCAATGGACTGTATCTGTGTCCAATCACATTTTGCAGGTAGTTTTCCAGGATATGAGGAGCAGTGAATGTCTTTATCTCTCTGTAGACTTTTTTTTAGCTTCCCTAGCTGGTCCGGAAAGGATTTAAACCACTTGCTTCTAAGAGAGTTTAGAGCAGTAAACATCTTAGCCAACACCAGAAATGTTTCTAAAAAGACCAGTATATCTTTCAGGATAATTTGTCTAAGAGAACACATTAAATAACCAGTGAAAGTGGTTTCATCAAAGGAGGCCTCCAGCCTGACTACAGCACTGGAAATGGCTCTGACATGGTCCCAAAATCAACTCAAACTGTGTTATGGGTGATGAAGGTTGATTGTAGCTATCTGTAGCTGACTAACTGCAGAAACTAATTCTGAAAACATAGGAGTTTTGTTCAGATAAACAACTAACAAAAACCAACAAACTCAAAAGCTTCATCAAAGTGGTAAGCACTATGGTTTGACCTGAATTTGACAACACACTGGTTCTGAGCCCAGGACATCTGTGTGGGGAGGAAGCCAGCCAAAAGGTAGCTGAGATAGCTCAGTGGTCTAAGCACCTGCCTGGCAAATGCAAGGACCTAGGTTTGATCCCCAGTACAGCATGCTGTCCCTGCCCCACAACTGGGCATGGTGACACATGCCCATAACCCCAGCACTAGGAAGCTGAGACAGGAGCATCATTATAAGTCACAGCTGCATATTAAGACCCTGCACCAAATAAATAAATAAATGATTTTTTTAAAGGTGACTCTTCATTCCTGTGGTCAATACATTTTCTGTCCCTTAGTCAAGGGTGCTTGTGACTTCCTATTGTAGTTTACTTTTGAAATTCCCCTGTATACCAGTCCAATGAGGATAAAAGAGGTGGCATAGGGGTTGGGGTTGGGGCTGTGGCTCAGTCCCCAGCACCAAAAATCAAGACAACAAAGAGGGAGAGTAGAAATAATGCTTATGTACCATAAAGTTAGAAATAAACTCCTGAAGTAACCATGACAATAATGATAGCCAAGTCAGGCATTTTCCAAAATCTTTCCACAACAACGTTGTGATGCTAGTGTGACATTGCCCAATCAAGGAAACTGAGGCACAAAGCAGTTAACAGCCACTGAATGGGTGCAGATCTATGTCTGCCTTCAGCGCTCAACAGCTGTGCTGTGCTGTTCCTTGATAGGGTAGGGATTTCCCAATTTCCAGACACCCTGGTTGTGTCACAGGTCACTGGAGCCATGGGCCTGAAGGACACACACACACACACACACACACACACAAGCCTCTCTCCCTCAAAAACACATTTTTCATGGGAAATAGTCCATGCCTCCATGAACAGCCTCCTAGATCTGTTTACTCTGAAAAATATGTTTATGAGTTGAGCAAAGTACAGAGAACCATAGCTTGTGAACTGGAAAACTAGCCAAAGAAAGTCTCTTTTGAGCAAGTAGGCATGTGTGGGACTTTCTGTACTGCCGGGTTTGTGCAAGCAACACCTGTAGTGTGTGGGGGAGGGATGAGAGCCAGGAACGGGAACCTTCACTTGGATTCACAGGGTGGATCAGCCCCACGACAGGGATAATCCACAAGCATTCTTGGGTCTGGATGTAGCTCAGTAGCAGAGCACTTGCCTAGCAACCACAAGGCCTGTGATCCAACCCCAATGTTAAAGGGCAAAGATGAAAACCCTGTCCCTACAGTTCAGCAATTGTGAGTGACTGTATTTCTCCATCTCCAGATAAGCCAGACCCCCCGGCTGGCATCCCTTGTGCGTCTGATATCCGAAGCTCCTCACTGACCCTGTCTTGGTATGGCTCTTCCTATGATGGAGGCAGTGCTGTGCAGTCCTACAGCATTGAGATCTGGGATTCAGTGGACAAGATGTGGAAGGAACTAGCCACATGCCGCAGCACCTCTTTTAACGTTCAGGATCTGCTGCCTGACCGAGAGTATAAATTTCGTGTACGTGCAATCAATGTGTATGGAACGAGCGAGCCAAGCCAGGAGTCTGAGCTCACCACGGTGGGAGAGAAACCTGAGGGTAAGCTACCACCACGTTTCTACCAGTGTGAGATGCATGTGAATGGACTGGCTTGTGTGTGTAGTGACCACAGTGAGAGGGTGGCCACAGAATTGAGACATATCAGCAGTGACTGGCAGGGCCTTTGGTGGTCTTGATTTCTAAGATTCTGATGCTGATTTGCACTGTTTCAAAAGTGTATAAGACCATTAAAAAAAAAAACCACACAGAACAAGTGGGTCGAAGGAATAACTCAGTTGCAGAACCCTTGCTTCACATGCATGAGGCCCTGAACACCATCCCCAGCACCATAAAACAAATTCAAACAACTTACCCAGAAATTCTGGTACACTGCCATGAGGGGGTGATGATGTATTAAGCAAGAGAACAGTTTCAGAAGGGCAGAGCTTAGGTGACATCAAGTTCCTACTTGACTCCTCATCTCATCCTTTTTTACACTCACATTTGAGTGTCTGCTCAGTGTCAGGACTTGCAAAACAGAGAAAAGGACAAAGATCTTAAATCTGGGAGACAGATGTGCATACACTGTAATGAGATGGGATACATCTTACTATAGTGACACAAACTGTGAAGGAACATGGCAGAAATTTGCCATGGACACAGGGAGACTTCCTAGAGGAGGTGACATATAAGAAGTGTCTTAGAAAGGGGAGTGGGAGTGGGATTCTGAGAGGCAGGGCAATGAAGAAAAGGAATTTCCTATAGAGGGCATCGGCATGAGCAAGGGCAGGAAGTGACAGCAAGCGGTGACACTTTGAGAAACATATGTAGCCTGGACAGTTGTTATATGAGACAGAATAGGAGCAAGAAAAAAGAAACAGTTTAGGTGAAGTTGTAAAGTTAACTAAGGACTTTCAGATGGGATTGAGAAGAGTAGATCTGTGTTCTAGAAATGGTTCTATTCAAAGCTGGGCTATGCATAGCAGCCCTATCATCCTGGGAGCTTTGTAGATTCTCATTCCCAGGCCTTTAGACTCTTCATTTGGCATTATCTGCCCCTGAGCTGATTCGTACCCATATGAAAGCTTGAGAAGTCCTGGAGTGCAGGATGGGCCAGGGAGCTGAGTCAGGAGTCAGCCAAGTACCAGTTGAGTCTTTGTGTCAAAATGAAGCATGAGAAGATGAACTAAATCCCCAGGGTGTAGTATGGACCATTCCTGATGACTTCTAGAGAGTTGACCAAAAAAAAAAAAAAAAAAAAAATTGGAAGGAGTCTAAGATAACTCCCAATTATTGACTAGGAAACTAAACACAAATTTAATAGCCAGTTAACAGGGTTTTGGTTTTCTATTTGCTTTTGGTTTGTTTTCCAAGTTGCTGATAATCAAACCTAAGATCTTTGTATTGAGCTACATCCCCAGCCTTTCCTATTATTTATTATGAGACAGGGTCTCACTAAGTCACTAAGTTGCCTAGGCTGCACTCAAACTTGGAAAGTCTCCTGACTCAGCCTCCCAGAATGCTGAGATTACCTGGGTATGCCACAGTATCTACCTCATTTAGAGGCTTATTATGAGTCATTGTGACTAACATGCACTGATGTGACTAATATGTGGCTAATGTGTAACTGCTACATGCTAACAATATGCCACTCACTTTACATACGTCATTTTATTGAATTGTAGTGAGGTAGAGACTATTATTACCCCCATTTTACAGATGGGGAAGTGAGGCTTCGAGGGGTGCTGCTGCTTGCCTGGGGTCACAGAGTGCATATAGTGAGAAATGTGTCTCAGAGGAGTCTGGCATGAAACCTGTGCTCCTTTGGTCAGACTAAGGGAAGAGTCAGCAGGCTGTCTCCTGGTTCCTGGCTTGAGTGACTGGAAGGTTACATTAACAGGGAGTCTGGGAGGAGATGGGGCTCTGTATTTGGAACAGTTGAGTGAGGTGGCAGAGGGACATTCCAGGGCAAGTATCTCCAGACTGTGGAGTCCAGAGTTCAGGAGAAAAGTTAGCGCTGCAGAGGAAAGTGAGCTAGTGCTGCAAACTTGGAGGTCTGCACTGATCGACCATGGAGCCATGAGCATCCATGAGGTCCTCCCAAAGGAGATACAGAGCAGCAACACCAGTGCCATTATGCAAAAGCCCATGGGATCAGAAGAAAGCGCCCCTGGACGCTTTCTTCCAGTGGTTTCCTAGAGACCACTGTAGGAATGGGAGGGAGCCAGTGACAAAGAAGGCCTGGCGAACCATAGCAAGAGCTAGAGATAAGACAGGTGAGGCCAAAGAAGGATCTTTGGATTTATCCCTTTGGTTAGTAATGATCTTTGAGATCAAAGTCCAGTGAGTTTCCACAGGGTGGAAACATGGTTGCCTTGGTTAAGAAATAAATGGAATAAGAAGAAGAAGAAAAAGAAAAAAAAAAAAAGAGGCCAGGACTGTGGGGTATCATCACAAGGCATTTCACCTAAAGAACAGGAAAAAGATGCTCTGAGTTGAAGGTAGAGAAAGGGCTTGGGTTCAGAAAGTGGGGGAACACAGGGACCAGTGCTCTTGAAGAGAGGCATGAGGGCTGCGGAGGGCCAAGGGTATCAGAAGAAATAGGAGGGAGCCAGTCTGGGAAGACCATGTAGCTAGAGGCATCATGCCTGTGGAACTCCTTCTGACTCAGTAACCTGCTCTAGTTTTAAAAATTAGGCGTAAAACAGTTATCAACAACTTTAACTCTTTTTTAAAAAAATGTATTTGTACTATGCAGCTCAGACTCATAGTGATCCTCCTATTTCCAACCTCCCTAGCACTGGGATTATAGGCATGTGCTACCACGCCTGAACTTGGTGGCTCGCTCAGCGCACCTGGGGGCAGGGCCAGCATGGCATGTGGTGCCAGAAACTTGAAACTTTTTTTAGGTACCAGGAGTAGAACCTTGGGTCTCACACATTCTAGGCAAGTGCTCTGCCACAGAGCAATAACACCACCACCCTCTTCAAAGGTCTGGTAAGCAACTAAGAAGCACCCAGCATTCACTCCTCTCTTGTTCCTCCCCCAACACAAACCACACTTTCTACAGTGAGCAGAGTCTGGCAGAAAGGGCAGCAAGTTATTATTTGGAAAAGTGGCAGGAGAGGAAGAGGCTGCAGTGAGAAACGTTCATTGGCTGGGAAATCACGTAGGTCCCTGCTATAGTGGAAACCACAAAAATGTCCAGAATCCCTGACCAACCCAGGCACAGGAGCAGAGTCCGCAGCAGCTGCAAGTGGGCTCCAGGAGGCCCAGACAGCAGCTTCTGGACTGTGGGGAGAGCCACCGGGTCAGGAGTGGGGTGCACGGTGAGCAGGCGGCCGTACCCTTGAACTCCACCACAGAGCAGCCCTCAAAGCCCACTCCTCCAACCTCCCCTTGGGAGCAGACACTGAGAAATGTTGAAATCTCCTGAAATCCAGGAGAGAGGAGGGGTCCAGGCCACCCAGGGCCTGACAGGAAGCTGCTCCCAACCCCAAGCACAGCTGGATCAAGCCAGGGCAGGAGGAGGAGGGGAGAGCAGTTGGCAGGCAGAGGCCTGAGAGTGGGGGAAGGGGGCTCTGTACTGCTCAGATGTTTGTAACAACAGGGAGCCATCACTCTTCTTTTGTTTTTTGGGGTTTTTTTTTGGCGGAACTGGGACTTGAACTCAGGCCCTTCCGCTTGCCAGGGAAGCACTTATTCTACTGAGCCATCTCCCCAGCCCAGGGAAATGGTTCTCAAAAAGTGTGGGATGGGGGGTTGGCCAGCAGACAGGTGAGATTGAGTAGGGGGTCACAGAAGGTCACTTATATGGAAAAGTGGCTGGGGATCATAGCAAAAGCAGTACCCGTGAACCGTGGATCCACTGAGCCTATCTAATGTCTCTGACTTGTGGCCCAGCCTTTGGCCCAGCCACTGTCCCTTCTGAGTTCCAGGTGCAACCCTGTGTCCTAGGATATAGTGGGGGACAGAGTGGGCCCATCTGGTTGCTGTGACTTCCCCCTGTCAGAGCCACCCTGTGAATAGGACCCCTAACCTCACAGCTCCCTTCCTAGTCTTCCGGATCACCAGAGCCCCCACCTTGACCCACTCTCTGCCACCCCAGCCCGACCTTGAACTCCTTGTGGGCTCCACTGATCTGGCTGACTCTTAAATCCATAGCCCTTGCTCATCTCCCTGATTTGTCTAGTCTATTTAGTTGTCCATATAATGACTGTGCAGTCGGGGCTCCTTGCCAGTCCCTGGGCAGGAAGAGCTGCGCCCTCAGGCTGCTCCCTATCCTAGGCTGCCCCTTTGCCCTGCAGGGCCCAGAGGTAGTGTCCAGAGCCAGGGTGCCCTCTAGTGCCCATGGAGTATGCAACAGTGCTTGGATGAAGAAAGGCACAGTACTCCTGGGACTGACTGGAAACCCTTCAGTTTCCAGTCTGCAGCTGGCTCGCTCCCTAACCCACTCCAACCCTCTTCTCAGTTTGCAGAAATATCTCAGAAACCTCTGCAGAATAGCTCCTCCACTTAGCTTTGGATCTGATAGCTCATTCTAAATAGTTTTGCTTTGCTTTTTTTTTTTTTTTTTTTAATGTTTAGCCAAAGTCCTTTCTTCTGCAATTCTAGCTCCTTCCTTTTTGGAAATATGGAAACCAAGTGCACATTTTTGTCATTGCTACAGCCCTTTATGGTCCACAAGCTTGGCTCACTGTACTTGTTCCTTACCCCACCATCACCCTCAGTAGAGGGCAAGCAGGACAAGAAGGGAGATGGATAGTCAGCAGCCTACAGACTTGATTCCAGGTCCCAAGAGGAAAATTTCAGGGAAGAATGAACTGAAAAGAGGACCTTAAGTCTCTACGGGCAGGGGTTTGGGTGAAAGAGGGTACAGCAGACAGAAATGGTGCAGGAGGCTGGGAGGCCAAAGGTCCTCTCTGAGGATGGCTGGGAAAGCTGCGAGTGCCAGGATGATGGAAGGACCCTGTGGCTCACAGCACTCTTCATGAACACAGTTAAACTGTTCCCTGGAAGGTAGCTGACCTAGAAAACCTTCCCTGTCTCTTACCCTGCTGCTCAGAACACTCCACTCGCCTTGCCATAGAAAAATGTGGGATGGAAACAAGAAAATGAAGGTTCTCAGTAGACCAGAGCCACAGATCAGGACTGCGGGGTCTCCCGACAGGGAAGACCTTCTCTCAAAGACCGTGGGCCAGGAAACAGCTACCAGGTGTTCAATGAATGGTAGACTTTACTCTCTTGCTTCCCTGAAAGCTCTATTTGAAATATTGTTGAGTTAACCTGAATATCCAGGAAACTATTACTGTTCTTCAGGTCCCTCCTGACATGGGTTCCATGGGGCTATACCCTTCCTCCCCAGGAAGCTCCCCCTCAAGTGATGTTTATGGGTTGACAGGAGTATGTACACCTGGCTTTACTCGTGACAGTTGAACTTATTTGTTCCCTAGTACTGGGGATTGAACTTAGGGACTTCTCACTGAGCTCCACCACTGGCCCTTTTTTTGGAGTCAAAGTCTTAGTAAGTTGTCCAACCTGGGCTCAGACTTACAATCCTCCTGCCTCAGCTTCCCAGCATGCTGGAATTACAAGCTTGCATCACCACATCTGGCTTATGATTTCTTTATAATGGTGTCTACTTAGACTGCTTTCACCTCAGGAAAGGCCAGGTCTTTTCCAGTTGTCTTAGCGTGGCAGCCCTCCCTCAGCTTCCATACTTGACCCTGCTCCACCTTGACCTTCTAACTGCCAGCACCCAGAGTCCTGGGGATGGATATCCCAGCTGTATCAAGGCCCTGGAGCAATTGTGCTTGTTGCCAGTGGCACTCTGTGGGCCAGAGCAGGAGAGCCCTTCTTGCCAAGCCTGTCACCCTCAGGGTAGAGTGACCCAGTCTCCCAAACACTCCCAGGCACATTGTTAGCGGGTCATCCTTGTCATAGATGAATTTGACAGTGTCTCTGAGCTCCCAGCCCTGCAGAGGGAGGCCCACATCCCTAACATTCCCAACCAGACTCTGCTGCATTTTTCCATGGCAGTTTCCTTTCTGTGTTATTCTTTTCAATCCTCTCATGTTTAATTCTTTAAAATTAAACTTTGTCAGCAGCATTTTAAGAACTCTAAACAGATCGCAGCTTCTCTTGCTCCTGGTTTCATGCTTGTAAACTCTTGCAGACCTCTTGTTCAGCAAGAGGCACTTGCCCTGGAGGACATCATGGCACTTCCCTCCTCTGGCTCTTAGGTTACAGCCACCTCGCCTTCCTGCTGTAGCTTGCTGGGGGGCCTGCTGTCCACAGGGTCAGCTGTACCTCCTCCCGGGCTCTCTCCCCTCCTCTGCCTCATCTGCCTCCTTCTCCTCCTCCCTGGCCCCTCTTCCATCACAGAGCACCTGCAGCCCTCACACACTGTCACACAGAACCACACACTCATACACTCACAAGCTTCTACAGCATTCCACACACCGATGCACACACTCCTTTGCACACATGCACTCACAGTTACACACTGGCCCCCACACATTCATACACTCCAATGTGGTTCCACACACAGAGGCAAATACTCACATTCACACTCCCACATTATCCCACGGGTACCCTCACACTCACACTCACACTTTAAACATCCACTCTGCTGATTTCTGTCACACCTTTGCTGTGTCCCTCAGCAATCTTCCTTGTGCCAGAGCAGTCCAGACAGTGGGTGGGGATGCAGGGTGCTATGGGTGTTGCAGCTAGTTACACAGGCCTAGAGTCACCAGGAACAGTCCTTATGGATGAGGGCTGCAGGCCAGAAATGGAAAGGCCCTGGCCAAGGTGAAGAACCCACAGAAGCCTGCTTATGGGCAGGCCTGCAGCAAGGCACAGGAGCGCGGGCGCCTCCAAGGGGCTGTGTCCCAGGGATGATGCTCACCCCATGTCTGCCCTCTACTCCTAGTGGGGGAGGGGACACTGAGGTCTCCTTGGCCCACCTCAGGGACACCAGCTGGCCCCATTTGTTGACTCCTCTCTGTATTCCTGTTGCCTTTAAGATATAACCCATGGGGCTGGGGAGATGGCTCCATAGAATAAGCTCTTGCCTGGCAAGCACAAGGGCCTGAGTTCAATTCCCGGTTCCGGGAAAAAAAAAAAAAAAAAAGCATAATCCAAGCTCTGTCCCTCCCAGAAGCAGTCACTCTGGCTCTCATGGCACCTCTGCCTGTGCCATCTCATCAGGGCACTTCGTAACAGATACTTCAGGTATACAGCATGTCTCTACCTCTCCAGCTAAATTAGAAGCAGCAAGAGGGAAGGAGAAAGCATGCCTGGCATGTATTTTTGGTTGGTTTGCCTATGTAACTGACAATATACTTGGTAAACTGCTGGGATTTTATTTCTAAAAAGTCCAACAAAACTTTTGGATTTGATTGGAAGCCTTTTAAGTCACCAACCTTCACAGTAGGGCAGGAAGGGCTAGTAACAGTTCTGTGTAGCTTGTTAAGTCCGGAGGCAGGGAAGAGATGAGAGGACATTGCATCTTTGGCTACAGGGTTGGGAGTGACAATCCTGGCAGCAAGGTGGGGCTGGTTGGGAGCCAGTCTGTACCTGGCCTTGACCAGCCCCAGCAGCTACAGAGGTCTGGGCTGGCCGGCCTGGTGCCCACGAAGGCTCCAGCTCACCTTGCTCTCAGCAGGCCTTGAGCACTGACCTCTGCATCTTCTTTGCCCCCCTTGTCTCCCCTAGAGCCCAAGGATGAAGTGGAGGTATCAGATGATGGTGAGTGGCGGGGCCCTGTCTCGGGGTGAATGGGGCTGAGCAAGGGGGCTGGCCAGCGCACACTGACCCTGACATGTGCCCTCAGATGAAAAGGAGCCGGAAGTTGACTATCGGACAGTGACGGTCAACACTGAACAAAAAGTCTCTGACTTGTACAACATTGAAGAGAGACTAGGATCGTAAGTGGAAGGGAAGCTGCATCTGGGTCCCCACGGGAGGTCGATGTGGGTCCCACTTCTTCCTGACCTCTCATAGACTCAGCCTTCTACCTGGGCTATGGTTCCTGCAGTCTTTAGGAGATAACATCTGCCCTGTGTGAGAGCCCAGCCGGTCAGCAAGGCCTCCCACTTCCATGCCTGTGCTCACAGCACTGAAGCCTGGATCAGACTATCTCTTCCTGCTGGGTCCACAGAAGTGGCTGGGAGTGAATGGCACTATGTCCAGCACCCTCGTGGCTTCCTGGATGAACTCCAGTGATGCAAACCCCTTAGCAGCTCTGGGAAAGGAGTCTACCCTGTCAGAATGAGTTACAGCCCAAAGAAATCTCGGGGTCCCCAGTCATGGCAAGCAGGGTCCTTCCTGGGCAGCCACCAGTGGACCAATGCAGGGGTGGAGTGGAAAGCAGGGAGCTACTCAGTCTGTGTTTAGGAAGTGTAGCCTTAGGCTGCCTTCATGGGCACCTGTAGAGAAGGAAAGAGAAGGCTACCAGCCATGATTGCATGGAAACGTGCTTACTGATTCAGTGTAGGGGCTGGTAGACCTTTTCCATAAAGGGCAACATAGTTGATATTTTAGGCTTTGTGTCCCATTGTCTCATAAAAACTACCAGGGACACCATGTAAACAAACAGGTGTGGCTATCTTCCAGGAAGACCTTAACTATAAAAAGAGGCAGGTCAGATGTGTCCCTTGGGCCATAGCTTGCCACCCCAGATTTAGTAAAAAGCTTAGCTAAATGTGGCTTTTTATCTCCTCCCTCTTTCATGTGCAGTGGAAAATTTGGACAAGTCTTTAGACTTGTAGAAAAGAAAACTGGAAAAATCTGGGCAGGGAAATTCTTCAAAGCATATTCAGCAAAAGAGAAGGAGAACATCCGGGAGGAGATCGGCATCATGAACTGCCTTCACCATCCCAAGCTGGTCCAGTGTGTGGATGCCTTTGAGGAAAAGGCCAACATCGTCATGGTGCTGGAGATGTGAGTGGCCCTGTGGGTCTGGGCACCCTTGCTTGCATATGCTGTCCTGCTCTAAACTACCTCTGCCCAAGATAAAAAGTGCTGCAAATAGGATGTGACGTGGAGAAGCTCACCAGCCTGTCACTTTGTGTTCCTTCCCCTACCTAGAAGATAGTGGGGACCCCTAGACATTCTCCCTCATCTCCCATGAAAGGGCTGGATCTAGCCCTATGCGCCTTGATGTTGTGCTGGACATTTTCAACTAATCTCACCTAGAACCATCTTAAGGAGGAAGGGACAGGATAGCAGCTTCCTAACTTCCTTGTAAAAGAGAAGGCCCAGCCTGAGGGCTCGGAATCCAGGCACAGAACCCTTGCTCAGACCGTCATTCAACTGTGTCTGGGAGTCCCTGGCTTGTGTTCCTATGGGTTCTGACTGACTAGAGCAGCACTTTCTCTGCTGGGGTGTGCAAAGGCAGGGAGATCCTTCCCAGAACCCATTATTTCCTTGCAGCCCACTCCTCCACCTCAATCATGCACACATACATGCACATGCATACAAGCACACACACATGCACCTAACACATATAATACCAGCATTAGTAAGCCACGTGTTTGTCATGGTATCTGCAGTTTTTACAAGCTTCCTTTTTTGTTTGAATTTTTTGAATATATACAATCACATCAAAATTTCTTAGAAAATACACAATGAAAAAAGTTTTATTCACTCTACCATTTCCAATTTATCTACTATGTTTCTACCCCATAGCACCTCTATAGGCAAACAATTTTATTTGCTTTGTCTGTAATGTACAGACCAAAGTCTCTTCATGAAAATACAAGTGTATATGACAGAGTCTTATGTTCCTGCCTTTTAACTTAAAAGGTAATTTATGGTACTTGTTATTTCACAGTGCACATTATTCAGCAAACTGCTGTGATAGCCGGTCCTGCATTCCCCCAGCCCCATGGAATCAGTACATGATAGTGTACTGAAGCCATCAGCTTTGCGTAAGTGGCCAGGTGGTTTCCAGGCTTTTGCTTTTGCAAAGAAGCATTGTTTGTATCATCATACACACATCTTTTCACCCATGCCTGTGTGTATCTGTAGCATACATTCCCAGAGGTGAGGGAGTGCTGAGCTAAAGAGTATACACATCCACACACCAGAGCACCACTGTCAGGTTGCCTTCAGGTTCCTTCAGGATCCTTGTATTGCTCATCCTGAACTTTTCGGGTCTTGAGCCTTTGAGCAAGCCCATGAGCATCTAAGCACTCTTCTCCAAGAAAGATGCAGCCTGTTCCCTTTGCTCATTGCAGCACTATTTGGTTTATTCCCTCCAGAATATGTTCCGTAGGACAGACAAGAGTGGTTAAGAACATGGACATGAGTCAGATAGACCTTCCTCAAATCTTATCTCTGCTCCTTACTTGTTGTTAACCTTACGTAAGTTACTCAGCTGTGTGAGTTACCCATCCTTACTTTTGTTACCTATAAAAGAGCCTATTAAACACATCTCCTAGATGCTGTAGGGATTAAGAAAACAATGCTTGAGAAGTACAGTTCTCTAAAATGGGAGGCTCTTAGTAGTACAAAACATTGCCTTTTCCTGTATCCTGGTCTTTTTCTACTTAAAGGTATACTGTGAACATTTCAACATCTAACTTAGTGTCATGGAACTAATCCTTTCCAGTATTCAGGAGGCTTGGCCTCAAGTTCTACTACAACTGAGATGTGATCTTTAATTCCTAAATCCTACCAGCAAACAAAAGTATCTTTTGGATTCAAGTAATTAATCTCCAGTGTCCTTTCACCAATAAAATTGTACAGTTCTGTGAAGTCATCAAAGACTCAGAGAAAAATCTTCATTTTTAGAATCAAATTTAAACTTTCCATCCTTCCCACTTTGAGGAAATATTTAGCCTATGTCTAAGACCTCATTCTTCCCAGCTTCACAATACCCCTGTGGGATGTAGCTTTGTTCTACAACAGGTTCTTTTATCCAGGTGAAGTGGGCATTGTGGGGACATTTGGAGAAATGTCTTCTCCTCAGAAGTTAAACCTTGAGTGAGTTCGTGAGAGGGGACAGGAGGCAGCTGAGGCTGGCTAAGGCCGGGCAGTCACACCAGTGGGCAGAATACCATACTTAGCTTGGAATCAGGAGTTGGCAAGCTGGATGGAAAAAGCCGAGAGAAATGTAAGAAGGTTTCAGCTGGTCTGGATTTCATCCCTGTACCCACTCCTCCCCCACGGACAGGAGCAAGTCTTCCACACACAGATGCCAGAATGTTCCCCACTTGGGATACAAAGCTTGCCCCATGACAGGAACTCAACCAGGGAAGAAGGGAGCAGCTTATACATCATTTGCATGTCCCTTCCAGCCTAACCATTCCGAGAGTTGGCCCTGAAGAGGGGAAGGTTGACATTTCACAGCACAATCTGCCATTTTCCTTGTTTGATAGAGAAACTGAGATGAAAAGCAGGGTGATTCCTGGTGATACAGAAAAAATGGAATGTGTAGTTCAGGGCCTGGCTTTTCATTCAGCTGCCTCAGAGATGTGAGGAGGAAAAATGCATGCCCCTACAGCCTTCCCAGCTTCTGAGCTTCCAGGACAAGCTCTGTCATGTAGCAGTGTGGCTCTGGATAGCGATCTTCCCTGGTCCTCACCTGGAACCTGGGCTTGTCATTGTGAGTGTCTGGGAAATGCCAAGGCATGGTGGGACCCTGCACACTAAGAAGACCTTGAAGTTTAGGCTAAGTCAGTGGTGGCTGATATCTCACCCTGATGCTCCTCTTAGCAAAGTTTATCAATGAACACCTACCTGGATGCTGTGACATAAGGAGCAGAGGGCCCAGGCATTAAGTCCCCAGATAGCATCAGTCCTTCTGGCTGCCACCAGTAAGGCCTGACCAAGGCCTAGAGCACTGAGGAGAAGAGCACTCCCATGGGACAGGTAGCTTTGATGATAGTAAGTGACCATTTGCCATTCTCCTGCTGTCTATTTATTAAGCACATATTTCTTCAACTTGTCTTGGCCCATGGCCTAATCCTAGTGATCTGGGCCTATGCATGGTAACTCTTGCCTATCAAACCAGAATCTTGAACACTTTGAAACCTATTAATCCCACTTTGAAACCTATTAATACAGAACTATTAATCCCACTTATTTTAGGATGATCCTTCCATCATAGGAGGTGGATTACAGGAGCAGTTTTCAAAATATCAAATATATTTGAAGAGCAATGAACCTATTTGAAGCATTATTGCCTAAGTTACCGCTGGAAATGCCACAGCAAATCATCTCCATGGCCTGGATGTTTTCAATTTTCTTAGACATCTCCAAAGGCACTGAAAATAATGGCTTCTTGCTTTCTTAGGCTATTTTAAGTTTAAAAGCAAATGTTTGGGGACATCTTGTCCATGTCAGATATCACCAGATACGAACAAGGGCCTGGAAGGGAGCCAGGCCTTTTGCAGATGAGCTGACAAACAACTCTGAGACAAAGCTGACTTGCTGCAGAGGGTGCAGACAGAGTGCCTGGATTACCATTAGGGAGACGTCATTTCACATGAAGAAGCAGGGGCTGGTTCTCTGAGGAAGTGAATTTCCACTGGACACCTAGGAGTGGTAGAATAACCTAGTATTTCCTAAATATGTGTGATCATCAGAGTGACTGGGGCACTTCTTAAAAATATGGATCCTCAAATGCCACCCAAGAATCTCCAAATGAAAACCTCCAGGGGGAGAAGCTTAGAAATCTTTATTTTCAATAACGGCCTAAAGTGATTCCTTAAAGTAAAAATTTTTTAAAAATTAATTTTCTTTTTAATGTAGTTGGTACAGGGTTCTCACTATGCAGCTCAGACTCCTAGTGATCCTCCTGTTTTCAGCCTCCTCAGCGCTGGGATTACAGGTGTGTGCCACCACAGTGGCCAACTGGCATGCCTGTGTGCCCAGGATACCTAAGCAGGTGCTTAGTCCACTGAGCTATCTCACCAGCCCTTAACTTACATGAATCTTCTTTATTCTAGGAACCTTTGTAAGCAATCCACCTGTTAACTCATTTCTGTCTTTGCTTGCAACTCTGTGAGTTGGTGCTGTTTTATATGCAGCTTACAGATGAGGAAACTGAGGCACAACGATGTTAAAGAATTAGCTGAGACTGAACAACCTGCTTTGGGTTTCTCTTGGAGCCTTGGTGGAGAGCAATAGAAATAGAGGGAGGTTTTAGGACAAGAAGCGCCACCTGCTGGTAGTGTGGGGACCTTCTTAGTCTAGTTCTAAAGGAGTCAGTTTTTGCTCCCCCTGGTGGCCACTGGCATACACTGCCCTTTCCCAGTTCAGCCCTGTCCAACGTCGCGAGGTATAAGTGGATAAACTGGTGTGCTGTGTCCCAACTACATCCCTGTCTGTCTCTCCTGCAGGGTCCAGTGACAAGAACCACTTAGCCCACCAAGATGTCAAACAATAATTAACATGTGCTGAACACTGGCTATGTACCAGGCACAATATTTTACACAGGTTTCTATATTCCTAGCAACTCCATGATGTAGGGACAGAGAAGGCAACTGCAACTAGGGCTCAGGAAGGTTAAACAAAGTTTATAAAAGACAGAGATATTGCAAGGGTCTGAGTTCAATCCCAAGTTCTGCCAAAAAAAAAAAAAAAAAAAAAAAAAATAGGTGCAAAGTCAACCCCTTCCTGTCTTCATGATGGGATCCCTTGAAGGGGCAATTCTAGAATGAAGCCCACCCAGACTTTACTGATATCTGGATGCCATGTAAGCTACCAAAGAATTGTTTAAACTTGCTGAGAAGTGATCAAGAAAGACCTGGGACCAGGGACCAGAGAAGACCCAGGCAGCTTGACAGCAGGGCCATCCCTGTGGAAACTGGGTGGTTTAAACTTGAGCTCCGTGTAACTAAAAGGCATAGCGAGGGTACAAGAATGTTCTCCTGTTCATCTTTGGTCACACATGACTGCCCATAACTGCCCATTTTGCTAAGGATCCACCTCTGAGACTGCCAGGCCTGAGCGCTTCTCTGACTCTACCACCTGAGCCTTGCCCCCCAACAGCCTGGCAGGGACAGAGCATCAGGAAACCCAGACAGCCTGGCCTCCTTCCATGGTGGAAGCCTGAGGTTCAGGAGGTTGCCACTGTGCTCCTTCTTCCAGCCTCCCCTGGCCAGATACCTGCCAGGCCAGCCCCATGATCCTGGGGCTGACCCAAGTACCCTTCCCACCTCCTTCTGTCCCTGCAGCGTGTCAGGCGGTGAGCTGTTTGAACGGATCATTGATGAGGACTTCGAGCTGACAGAGCGGGAGTGCATCCAGTACATGAGGCAGATCTCGGAGGGGGTGGAATACATCCACAAGCAAGGCATCGTGCACCTGGACCTCAAGCCCGAGAACATCATGTGTGTCAACAAGACAGGCACGAGAATCAAGCTCATCGACTTCGGTCTGGCCCGGAGGCTGGGTAAGGCCCATCTGCCTCTCCTGTTGTCAGTGCTGTGGTGACAGCAGTTATGTGTCCTTCACACATCATTTATTAGAAAAAACATACAATATTGGGGTCAAAGTCAGACGCACTGAAGCCTGCTCAGGTTCAAATGCACCCCTAAAACTTATTACTGTGTGACTGAGTCCCAATTCATCATCTGTAAAATGGACTAGCAGTCGTGGCCACCTTGGAGGATCACAGGAAGACCATCAAGTCAAAACAGGCAAGGGCCCAGTGCCAGTGCCACACACATGAAAAGCAACATGCAGGCGCTCCCTTTTTATGTGGTGCCACCACCATTGGTGGCAAAACTCATTTTGGTAATGGCAGCTTTTCATATCTGTGGTTACATATGCATAGTTCCCAAAGCATCTCCATGTTAAAAACAAAAAGATTTAAAAGTTCACTGATTCTCACTGGGCCAGAGGCAGGGATGACTTTCTGAGCCCTGCTTTACACACTAGGAGACTGAGGTTCACAGCAGCTTTGCTCCTGCACCCACCGTGAGTAGAGGAGGCACCAGGGTGGGAGTAGGTCCGCAGGCCCAGCTCAGGTGCTGCAGCCTCTCTGCTGTCTGAGCACTAAGCAGAGGGGGCAGTGAGGTAGAGGCCAAGGCCTGGCACCTGCCCAGACAGTTTTGGTCAGGTGTCTGCTTCACATCCCACCTTCGGCCGCTCTGCCTCTGTAGCCCTCTGATGTCTCTGTCACTCTCACTCCCAGGCAGCACCCTGCTAACAAGGAGCCCCAGGACCAGAGTGAGCTGGCCTTGATTTCCATTACCGTGGGGAGCAAGGAGAGGCTGGCCAAGCCAGTGCCACCTTGCAGACCTGATTGAGAACCATGAGGTAGTGAGGTGCTGATAGACCTGGACCTGCTTAGTAATGATCAGCATAGTCAGGCCACTACTGCACCCTGCCCTGCTGTCCTGCTAAAGGGACAGGGAGGGCAGCGGCCAGTATATGGGGTCTGCTCTGGATAGTGACCACTAATAATTAAAAAGGCACAGGCCTGGGAAGCTGGCAGCATCGGAACCCAGTGAACACACTGTTCAGGTTCCCTTTGTGGGAGGTACTATGGGAACAGCAGTGTTCAGCAAGGACCAGAGCACAGGAAGTGTGTAGAGTGTAGCAGGAGGAGGAGTGGGAGTTGGAGCAGCGCTATAAGTGCTTTGCTTTACAACTTTTGCCATGGGCGTTGCAGACTTCCACAAGGCCAGATGTGGCTCCTAGGCTGTTGGTGCCTGCCTTTAGGGCACACTGACAGGCATCTTTTGTCCATCACAGTCCCTGCAGCTCCTTTGAGGAGAATCAAGCTAGGAGATAAATAGGAGTAGCAGGGGAGTGGAGTGGAGTGGAGTGAAACCTGGCTTGGTGATCAGACTGCCTGGGTCCAGGTCCTGGCCACCACTGATGAGCCAGGTGGGGAGTCACTTTATCACCCTGGGCCTGACCATTGTTGGGAGTACTCAGGGCACCATACATGGGCTCCATACCTGCCTCTTAGGATTGTTGAAGAAAAATCCTTGTACAGCTGGGAGAAGGGCACATAGGATACAATGAATGCCAGCATCAGTGAAATCAGAGCATTTTGTTTTTTGTTTTTTTCTTTTTTCTTTTTGAGACAGGGTCTTGCTGTGCAATTCAGGGTATCCTTGAGCTCACTTTATAGCCCAAGCTGGTCTTGAACTTGCAATGATCCTCCTGCCTCATCCTCCCAAGTACTGGGGTTACAGGCATGCGCCACCACATGTAGCTATTCAGAGGTTATTAAGCATGAGTCACAATCCCTCCCTTAGGGAACTAAGTCACAGGGGCACAGCCACAGAAAAGGCCCCCTTGGGAAGATGCCTTAAGAGCCCCTTCTTCCCTTCCTGACTGCTCAGGACATTTGAGGTGAGTACTGACTGGCTGGTTTCACTGGTGGGTTGACCCTGTATTAGTCAGGCCAGGTGCTATGCCATATAAAGCACCCAAAGGCTAAGCCTCGTCTGTGTCTCTGGAGCCCATCACACAGAGGCTGGTGCTTGCTCTGAGCTGGCCACGTGGCATGCTGTTGACCAAACCTTTTCCATCCTGGTTTCAGAGAATGCAGGGTCTCTGAAGGTCCTCTTTGGCACCCCGGAGTTTGTGGCTCCTGAAGTGATCAACTATGAACCTATCGGCTATGCCACAGACATGTGGAGCATCGGGGTCATCTGCTATATCCTGTGAGTCCTGTGGCATTCGGGGAAGGGACTGAGAGTCCCACAGCAGGGTCCCAGGCTGCCATGATGTTGTGAGGGAGGGGCCAGAGGAGGTCAGGATGGAGAGCTGCACCTACAGCAGAAGGGGTGACAGCTACCATCCCTGTCCCACCTGTACTTGGGTTCCCAAGGGTCTGTGGTCTGCACCCCGTCCTATAGCAGCATGGTGTCGCACACCATGCCAGACCCTCAGTCCCTAGGACTCAACTTGGAGCCTTTGGCCAGAAAGGGAGGTGCAGCTGGCACCCTCACTGTCAGCAGGTCCAGAAAGCGGAGGGAGGAAGCCAGGCACATGTCTCTGGAGTCTGTATTGTGCTCTGAGGACAGAACCCCATCCCCAGCCAGGCACATGGGGTGGAAACCCAGCCTCTAGCCTCATCTGTGACTCCATCGTGTACAGTGATTAGTGGGCACTTTTGAGGGCAGAGCCTTCAGTGGAGCCAACAAACAACAGAAAGTGATGCAGTATTTAGAACTGGAAAATCAGGTAGCAGTAGGAAGCCATTTAAGTGAACATAGATGGAGAGAAGGAGGCAAAGCCAGCAAGCCTTAACATTCACCCATCACCAAGCACAGGGGCAGGCTTGGGCTGAGGCCTGGGGATCCTGAGGTTACATCCTCCCAAGTGGTCCCAGGTCACCCTAGCACTACTCCAGGGACCCTCAGCTTCACTGATTGAATCCTGACGCCTCAGGATACAGACAGCTGTTAGGTCCAGTGACAGCCCCTGAGCTTGGGGCAACACAGTTATGGGCTGGTGCCCCAAAGACACAGATAGTAGTATCTGTTCAAAAATACTTTCATCATCAAGACCAAAGGGAAAGTAAATGTTTCTACAGAAAGTATGAAGAAGGCCTCATAGAAAATTTCATAGGCCCCTGGGATCTTCAGCCCCAGGGTAGCAAAATGATTCTGGTGCCTCTCAGGCCTAAGAACTGCTTAAGCTGGAGCAAGGTACTATGACTTCTTTTACCCAGTCACCTTCTTCCCTGCCCAGGGTCACCCCTCACTGCACCTTCCCCTGATTCCAGACAGAGAAGAAACTGTAGGCCAGGCATGCATTTCCCTGCCTTTCCCTTCCCTGCACTCTCCAGGAGGGGGCACTAATGAGTACAGTTGACGACACCCAGGAAGATGATGCAGTTGCCACGGGCAGGGCCTGGCTGCTGCTCACGCTGAGCTCTGAGCCCTGGGAAATAACCTGACCCTGCAGAAGCCACCCTATCACCTATCAGCTTGCTCTGTTCATACCTTACTGCCCTGTGATCTGGATCAGTCCCTGTGGATTCCCCTTCCCTCAAGGAGACCTCCCTGCCCAAACCTAGAAGTGGGTCATGGCAGTAGTTTGATGTTATTGGGCTTGGAGCCACAGTTTGGGCTGGTGATCAAGTCTCCCCACTTGCCCAAGACTAACAGTTTCCTGGGTTACAAGACTTGGACTGCCAAAATGGGGACAGTCCCGGGCAGATCAGGACAACTTCTCTCTTGACCATGACTGCGGTGCCTGGACTGCTTAGCAAGTTTTCCCAGTAAACACACCCCTGCACTCTATCCCCACATCAGGTTCATACCCCCTCCCAGTGACCATCCCCCAGAGGCAGTTGTCACCCTCGTGTCTGCTGTCATATGTTAGTGCTGCCTGGCCCCGAGCTTTGCTTTGTGAAAATGCAATCACCAGAAAGCTGTGTGGTTTCTTTTGCTGGCCATTGTGAGATGAATTCACATGTGAAGGAAAGCTGCCAGAAACGTTTGTTCTCCATGCTCTGCAGTGTGCTGTTTGGATGCAATCCAGTCCTTAGCTGCTCTGCCTCGATGGGCTCTTGAGTCCTCTCCAGTCTGCAGCATTACAGGCATTGTAGTCTGTGTGTTTTCCTGAACATATCTATGTATTTCTGCCCAGTGATCTAGAAGTAGAATTACTGGGTTAGTAGACCATATCATTCCAAAATGAAAATCTTTTCCTGTGGAGCAACTTGATATTTTGGGTGCTATGCCGCACTGTTGACTACATTATTTTCAAAGCTAAGACCAAGAAATAGGAAGCAGCTTTTGAAATGGAGAGGCCTGATGGTGGTCGGGCAGGGACATCAGGAGGAAGGAGAGGAGTATGTGTGGGGGACATGAAGGAAGAGCTGGTGACAGGCACTGCCCACCCCCAATCCCCCATGCACACGCCAATGCCCACCCTCTGCACAACTCCCGTGCCCCCTGTGGGTCTCTTCCAGGGACTCTTCTGGCTGCTCCCTTCATGCTTTGGGGCCTGGGAGTTCCCTCTGAAACCAGGACTCTCACAGAGTATGCGGTGCTGAAAATAAAAGTTGAAGCCAGATGTCATCCCTTAGCCCTGCCATGAAGAGCTCTGGGTCCCCTGCCGAATGCAGCTAGCAGCAGCTCCCTGGCACCCTCAGGGATCCTATGCCTGCTCCAACCTAACTGTAGAGCCAGGCTGGCTGCCTGGCAGTCTCTCTCTAGGCCACTTTACCTGCATACAGAGAAACTTCTGACCTCCTTGCTGGGGTGGCAAAGAGAGGGAGTGGGGGGCCAGGGTGAGGCATCTGTTATGCAGCATGTTTCATGAGCACCTCCTGCAGCTCCTGAATAACTCCAATATCCAGTTGTTGCATCACCGCAGGGGGATCTGACTGTCTGGGGACTCCCTCACCAACCCAGCCCAGGGAATAGGCTCTTCTGGTCACTGCTTCCTCCTAGCCTGGTTCTCTCACACCTGCTTCCACTTCACAGATCTCCCAGATCTTCCAGAGGCCTTCTGAAGTTAGCAAAGCCCCCTTGGTTTCTGGCAGAGAAAGGAAGTACAGGGTAGCTCCAGGCTACACCTCCACATGGGAGAAGTCACAGACTCACATCCTCCTCAGAGTCTTCCTCCTCTCCACCCCCTCTTCCCTGTTTCCTGAGCACTTGGTGTTTCCTTGCTGCCTTGGTGAAGCTACAAGCCCCCACACCCCGCCTCAACTCTGCTGTGCTGCACCCACCCCCCAAAACAGGAGAGGAAATTACCGTTCCATTTGTCTCCTGTCATCTTCCTGGCTGGCTCAGCAAACATAATTTCCCACTTCAGCTCATGTGTGTGGAGCACCCACAATGGTCAGAAAGTGAGGGGCTGCCCCCATCAGGAGGGAGGAGAAGTGAGGCAGGGGAGTGCTTGTTTATCCCGCCACCTGCTACAGCAGCGCATTGGGTGCCTTCTGCATCTGGGGTTGGGATGACCTGCCTTCCCTCCCAGCTGCCCACCCTCACCGCTGCTGATCTCAGAAGTGCTCTCCTATCACTGCCCTCCCTGAGCCTCACCAATCCCTGCTCCACTTGCAGGTCCTGCTGCATTTGGGCATTTGGGCATTTGATCAGGGCATTTGGGCTGTGGTTGACATGACTAAAGCCAAGCAGGCTGCTGCTTCCTGACCACCATGCGAAACCATGTTCAGCTTTCCCTGGGGACCTGCTTGTCCTCTAAATGTCTCACTGGAGGACCTGAAGGTTATAATCAGGGTAAAGATGAAATCCTTCCTTAGACCTGTGCTTCCCTTAGCTTCGTGCCGCCAGATCATCTGTGTACAGCTTGAAGTACACAGAGGAAGTGTAGCCAAAGTGGCGCTTCTATGCCTCCCTCCCCGCTGCTGTTTTGTCTTGAGAGGAGAAAAGATTCCCCTCTGGCTTCCTGATGATACCCTGTTGCAGGAAGACTGGGAATAAAGGAATTAGGGCAGGAGCTGGAGCTCAGTGGTAGGAGGTTTACTAGGCACGCTCAGGAGGCTAGGTTGGACCCTCCTACCAAAAACAAGAGGAAGAAAGGAGAAATTAGATGGCCCTGCAGCCATGACCTTTGTGACCAAAAACTTGCCCAGACTGATTATAACTTTATGAAAACCAGATAAATCTGTAGGCTAAAGACTAGATAAGACTAGGAACAGGAGAAAGATAACAAAATATTTGTCCATTAGTTGATTTTTTAATAAATGATAACTTCTAAAAATAAAAGATAGCAGAAAAAAAAGAGGATAAGGCCTTTGGCAAATGGGAGGGGAACTAAGAGATGGAAGGGTATAGGGAAAGAAATAGGATGTGTCATGTATATGTATCAACTACCCACAATGAATGTATTTGTGATATATTACAAACACTAACAAAATTTTTAAAATATACATGATTCTTTATTGGACATTCTTGCAACATAGTCGAAAAAGGAAAGTTCAGAGAAAATCCAGGAAAATCCCACCACCCAGAAACAGCCTTTTTTTTTTTTTTTTTTTGGTGCAACTGGGGATTGAACTCAGGCCTTTGCGCTTGCCAGGGAAGCACTTATCCTACTAAGCTATCTCCCTGGTCCCCAGAAACAGCCTTATGGAAAATGCAAACACTCTCTTCATGCCATAGATGCAGATATTCTACATTTTACTTAGAGACATGCTTTGGTGTGGAAAATGCTGGGGCAGTCTGGGTAGGTGAGTCAGGACACATGGAGAGTGTCTCAGATAACTGAGCTGCCAAGAGGGAAAAGGACCAGAGGCCAGAGGCCAGGAGGCGCCCCCCGTACTAGTCCATGGTGCAGAGATTGGGGCCTATCTTTACAGGGTTACAGCTCCTAAGTAGGAAAGGAGCTTCACAGAAGAGGCCCTTCAGTATTCTGCAGCCGGGCTATTTGCCTTCCTGCTATCTTTACAGTGCTGCAGGACTTTCCTCGCATTACTTCAAATGGAAAATTAAAAACAAGAAAAAGCAGGTGCTGACATGCAGAGACAGGCTGCTTTCTGGTGGGCCTTGCGAGATGGGGCAAGCTGGGAGGCCCTAGTATTCAGGCCCAGTCTACCTGATGAATAAAAGGGGAAACAGACCAGAAAGGAAACATAAGTAGCACATAATTTCAGATCGGTAAATTCCCACTCTTCCCTCATGGGGATATGGTGAAGAGCCATTATCTCTTCGCCCTGGTAAAACATTAATCAGTGTCTTGCTTTAAGAAAAATCATCTATAAAAGTCTGTTATTGGGAGCCTGCTCCTTAGCTCAGTTCTTTAAGTGGCTGCTTCAACAAAGCAG